TTTTCACGCTTTTCATCGCGTAGACCCTGTAAATTAATCCACCTTCTTATTGATTGCAAAAGTTTACCAAGGCTTGAGCACATGTTCGCTCGTATTTGCTTTGTAACGTTTGCAAAACTGAAGAATATATAAATATTTATATGTGTACACACACTTTTATATATGTATATTTAAATATATAAATTGAAAAAGCCTTGGCGAACTGCTTGCGGCCTAAAGCATTTTCAATTTTTGAGTTTTCTACCCAAAATCGAGGGGTTCTTCCCTCTTTTCCCTCACCCGCACATGTCTATTTATTTACGTTTGATTTTTCTTACATTTTCCAGGAAGTGGCATGGGCTTGGATCAGGGGCAGGGGCAGGGGCAGGGGCAGGAGCAGGGACACGAGCAGGATAACAGGAGAACGTTGTGGCTGTGGAAGCGGTAAATATGATGACGATGTGGCGCTGTTGTTTACCGCTCCTCGCTCACTCTCTATACCTCCCTCTCCCTCTCTCTCTCTCTCTCGCACTCTCGTAACTCGCCTGATATCAGGCGCATCTGGGTACGGCACCGACTGGGGCATATGTTATGAATTTTATGCAAATATGTTGCGCCTCTCGTTACGAATATAGCTCGCTCTTCTGCTTACGCCCCCCGCTACACGCCCCGCCCACTCCAGCCAGGCAAAAAGTTTAAGAAAATTCGCCATGTGTGCGATTTTGTTTTCATTTTTTTTTTCTGTTATTTTTCACAGTGTTTGCTATTCTATTAACATTTAAATCAGCTTTCGGCTTGACTCTTAAAGCTACGAAAGGGTCGACGCCTGCTTTACGCCCGCATATTGTTGACATAACTCCAGCAATATGACTCTGAGACAACGAACTATCTAGATCTAGGTAAATGGAAAGTCTGGCTAATATATAAAAGTTCAAGAAAGTATAATTGGGGCATACATGGGAAATACTTTTGAGAGAGAATTTCGTTCGTATGTATTCGATAGAAATTATCGATGTTAAATTAAGCTAATATAAGAAAAATAAAAAAAGTAAAATATTGATTTGAAAATTGTTTTTAAATATATAAATACAATTTTTACTATGGTAGTCAAAAAATATCTTTTTTATACTCCTAACAAATTTTCTTTCACATAATATATAATAAAATAAATCTTCAAAAATATTTTTTTATACTTAAAGTCCACATTTACGTAAATTACTTAAATCCCCATAAATATTTGAACCCTTTTTCTCAAGTAAAGTTAATTTAATTTCCATAAAATACTCAACCATCAAATTCATATCTTAAATTTGTTATTTATCCAGGTAAAATGTATTTAATTTTTGTAAGCTACTCAACCTTCAAATTCATATCTAAAATTTATTTATTTAGCAATAAGCTTCAATAGCTTTCCCTGCTAAATTTGACTCACTTCAAATCAAATCTTTACGTAATTCACGTAAGGCTTTACGTCATCGAATATGTAAGTCTTGATTTGACAATGAGCTGGATTTTTTGGTTTTTTTTTTCATTTCATTCGTACTTTTACATAGTTTCCGCTGAGGCACGTCATGAATCATTTAACAACTTGCACAAACATTAAATTACGCATGAGAATCCTTTCTCTTTTATATATTGCAAAAGGGGCAGCAGCAGCCAAAGAGGGCGAAGAAGAAGAAGAAGCTGTCTCGGCATACAAAATTCAATTCAATTCAATTCAGGCAACTCACACACATACACACACACATATGAGGATCTGGTAGGACATAGAGGACTGAACACATGCGACTAATTTCATATTCATATGCATATTTAGACTAACTACCGAGCCGTAAGCAGTAGGGCAAAGAGAGTGCGAGAGAGAGAGAGAGAGAGCTCACATTCAGGCGCTAGGCAAAGGATGTGTGAAAGAAAACCAAAAGGCAAAAGGCAAAAGCCGATGTGGACGATGAGGGCGATGAGGACGACGACTTCATGCACATTGGCACGCCTAATTTATAACACAAAAGTCTACTTAACTCCCCAATGGCAACTATGTAAGGCCAGGCACTAGAGACACAGACAGACCGGACGAGAGAGAGAGGGAGACAGATATAGTAGAGACTGAGCAGAAGGCGCTCGAGCAGGAGTGCTAAGCCGCCAAGGGCTGGACGGACAGCCCCAGCAATACAAGAGATTG